ATGCCTCGTGATTCTGCTGATACTATTTGTGTTAGTTCCGCGTAACTGTCTATGAACCATTGGTATCTATTTGTCTATATGAAATCTCGCTGTTTATGGAAGGACCAGTTTTGCTGTTTATGGAAGGACCAGTTTTCTTTGACAGCAGTCGACAGCCTCTCGGTTGTTAAGAGGGAGTTGTTCAGCCTGAAAAATCCCTGACCTGTTTGGACTGGTGAATTGAATTTGAGCAGCAATTGAATGAGTGTATGGTCCAGTCCTTTGAAAGCTGCAGATGAACAGATTTCAGCTTCTTTGACTGCGCCTTGTAAGCTCTCAGATATGTGGATGTAGTCACAGTGATGTTCGATTGGCTTGGTTCTTTTTTTATCCAGGACGACTTTTTTTATCCGGATGCAGTGTGCTTGAGCGGATCGACGAGTTCAAATTATTTCATCAGATTTCATATCCGGGTTCCCGCTCTTGTGGGACCCATCAGTACTGTTCTTGAGATCCGGTCCAAGATCGTGTTCCAGTCTCCTGCTATGATTACCGGTTGGGTCAGTCTTCTGGGTTCAGTGTTAGGTGCATATAGGTTGAGAATTCTCAGGCCCTCTTCTTGCCATCTTATGTCTAACCATGACCATCTGCCTTCCTCGCTGTCACCCTCGCTGTTCAAGATCTGGCCTTCAGTCAGAATCTTGGATGTTCTTGGTATGAGGAGTGCAGTCCCTTTTTTGCTTTGGCCATCTTTGTTGGACCATAGTGTGAATGCACATCCCCCTGCTGTTCTCTCCATCCGTTGCTGTATTCTGGTATGATTATTCAGATTGAACAGATGGGTCTTCTGGAGAAGTATCAGATCGGGTCTGGGATGGTCTTTCCCCACCAGGCCCGTCCTGATTTCGTCTTCTTCGGCTAGAATGTTTCCTACACCGTTGACATTCCAGCTTACTATCTGGAGACGCTTGGCGTGCCAGTTAATCTTGGGCGGGCTGCCATGCCCATTTCTGGATTCCGTGTGGTCTGGCATTGACTGATACCTTGTTTCCCTCCTTGCACCCTGCTCTTTTTTTTTAATACGTGGAGAGATCTGAAAATTGGAAGGTTTGTAAATTCTGTCGTGATCTTCGCAAGAAAAATGTGTGTTTTTTAATTCAATATTTTTTTAAATTAGAAAAATTGTTTCAACCACGAAATCAATTGCGGCGGCAATTTGATGCATTTTCCATTTTTGCCACTATGCCGGTTCTCCCCACCAGTAGCCCTCATAAACCTGTGCTACCGGTCCCCCAGAATTTAGGACGGTGGGGTTTCTCATACATCGGCCGCGGGTCCGTCACTGTGAGTTTCAGAGGCTGGAAACGCAACATTGCCACTGATGAAATTCATCAACGGCAGCCCAACTGCGTCAGGCCCCCAAAGAATGCCACCTCCCCAACCATCCTCGCATTATCGTCCCTTAGTGTAAACAACTCAGGACTATCATCCTACCATCTTGGAGGGTGACTTGGACCGAATAGAAGGTACAGGCACCAAGGCTAGGCATGCTAGTGCCCACCGACAAGTCCGGACTGTCCTAGCTCCTGTCTTTCCCTATCATTATGGTATTAGACAGGATCTGAAGTTCTGACATGTGGGCCGGAGTTGTAGGTGTGTGCCATTTTTAGCGACCAGGCAAGCAACCTGCCAGGATTGTGCATGAAGACATAAAATATTAAATACATATTTATTATTTATAATATATTTGGAACAGGGTTGGAAGGGCAAATCCACCCGTAGGCATTTTGATCGAAAATGCCCCACGACCAACTGGCCTAGCTCAGTTGGTACACCTATGAACTTTCGAAATTCAGACCTGAGTTCGAATTCCAATGGAACGGAACCGGATCATTAAGAAAAAAGAAAAAAAAAGGGGGTCATTGTCAGTTACCTGGGGCGACTGAGCATGATATCTATCTCAAGCCTGTGAAAAAAAAAGGAAAAAGAAAAATGAAGGGAAAAAAAAAAAAGGAAACGCCCCACTTTTTTTATTTAAACAACTTTTCGATGATGACGTAGTGCCACCCTGGGAAATCTGAGGGCTAGACGTTTGTCAGCACCCATCGGATTCTGATTACAGCACCGGCCCACACACACATGGTGGTTTCAGTTCTCGGGTAAAAGACTGGAATTTTTTCTTGTTTTTCTTTTTTTTTTTCTTTTTTCCATTTTCTTCTATTTTTTCCCTCTCTTTTTGTCCTTTTTCTTTTTTTTTTCTTTTTTTAAAAGTGGGGAAACGGGCCCGGCGTCCCGTGCAAAAGTTAATCAGTAGGTCCCCCTTCGAGAAAGGCATCATCGGCCTAAGTCAGAGGGGGCCCACCGGGGCAGTTTCGCGGTGTAAGACAATTTCTAGTTTCCACATTTTCCTCGAGAATGTACGCGACCCAAGCAATCAAAAAAAGCAGAAACACTCCGTGGTGGTCCCCACCGCAACAGCTGCTCTCTCGCTCCGAAGTTGCCACGTTGCACCCTCCCCTAGCAACTACAAAATGTATACTGTGAAACCAATGAGAAAAGGGTAAGAAGTTTTAAAAACAGGAACAGTGAAAGCAAAACACACAAAACACACATCAAAGCAAAAAGCAAAACATAAGGCAGATCAAAGAAAAAAGGCTGAAAATGTTAACACCGGCAATTGCCCTTGGCGATGTTGATTTCGTCAATGTCCTGCTTTTTTTTCTATGCCCTCTCGGAAACAGGGAAAGAAATGGAAAGAACTGCTGCCACCAGACTTGGAAGAATCGAGGACTGACTTCAACTTAGGCCCCCCCTTCTGCCACCCCCCCCCCCCCCTTCTGCCTTACC